CTTCAGGTCAGACTGGGGCCCTTGTAACGGTGGAAAATCACGCACCAGTTAACCCGCAGATATTGGGCTCCTAAAGGCTTCTGGGCTAGCCAGGCCCAAAACTAAATTAAATTGGCCCAAACAAACTAAATGTTGTTTTAAGGGGGCACATGCAGACTTAAAGGAGCATGTGACCAGGGAGGGGGGAGGTCACGGGTAGGCGGGAAACAGTCTACTATCGTCTTCCTCGAGCTCCTCCTCTCGTTCGAACAAGTCTAAAAGTTTCCAACTTGCTACAGTGGGTCCCTACTAAGAATTTGGCTCAGTCTACACAGGATTGCCATAATCCAAGATGTGAGAAGCGAAGTGAAATAGACAACCTAGACACGGAAATGTTGACAGATGATGAAGATCTTCTGATTCAGATACGGAATCTGGAGAAACCCTAAGTTTGGGAAGCCTTGACCTCCAAAAATCAAAAGATATTTTTGAAGAGGATAGCTTAAACACTGAGCTATTATTTCCAGAGGAGGAAATGGTACCACAAGACTGCAACAATGATGAACTTTTGAGGTCCTTGAGTTGCGACATTGGTGAACTAACTTCCTCCCTACTAGAACTTGTGTCGAACAAAAATCAGATGGATTTAGTAGCGATTACAGAGGTTCGGCAATTTACACCTGTTCCAATAAACGAGCCTATTCCATTAACCCAGCAAATTCAAGATATTGGGCCAGAGAGACGGGAATCTTCTTTGATGCCTTATGTAAAGGAATACGTAGAGGGAAAGACTAGTGAGTTATCTTTGACTGCAGGGGGTGAAAATGTTATGGTTGAACCTGGTCCACTTCCAAAGCTGAATCAGGAACAAGGAAAGGGTTTGGTCTTGAACTCAACAATTGATACCCCTCTTCAGAGTTCATTGCTCCCACCATCATTACATCTAGGTAAGCCTGTCCATTTGTTTTTAGATACTAACCTGGGTGCTATGACTGTACCAGATATCCTGACATCACAACCAGAATAACCAGGCGGTAGCAGGGGAGTGGTGAAGGAGAGTGTTGGAATTGGTACTGAGAAGGGGGATCTTTTAGTAAAAAAGAAACAGAGGAAGAACTGGAACGAGATTTGGGAGCAGATCTATTCCTTGTTGGAGGAATATAAACAGAAAGAAGAGATGTTGGAGGAAACCCCAAATAAATCTAAACCTCTTTACCTCTTTTTAGCCCCAATAGGTTGGTGCAGGAAACAGGAAATAAAGAGCTGTCTAAGAAATCAGTGGGTAATAAGGGTGGGAAAAAGAAGAAAAGATCTGAAGTAGAGACTCATTTTGGACATTGAAAGAGATATTGAATTTAGTGGAAGAGGGGAGAGGCAAAAGGCCTTTAAATGATGGAAGATAGTGTCTTGAAGGGTTTATATCAAGTAGGTCAATGAAGATCAACAGTTGGAATGTGAGACGGTTGGGCAGTGCTAGAAAAAGGAGACTGATTAAGGAGTTGCTT